TCTGCCTTCAAGATTGGACTTGCTGGTTGTCTGAAGAGCCTCTCATTGAATGCTCGCAAAAGTCGGATCATGTCACGGCCAGAGCTTCGCGATAACGCCACATAAGTGTTGAATGGTGTCAGCCCTCCTGTTGGTGGAGGTGCAAGATCGATGATGACATGCCGGATTGTTTGGCCTTGAGATAATCTGTGAAACCATATGCCCCTGTCATAGGCAGCTGTCGGTGCTTCACTGTCTTCGATTTCCCATCGACAACATCCACCCGATCTCTGGCCACTTCTTCCTTTTCGACTCCTTTCGGAGTGTCTGGATCCTTATTGTCAGTCCCCCCGCCTTTTGTCTACACCACTACAACAGCCGTTGCCATTGGCTCGTCTACCATTATCTCAAATTTGAACCCGTGGCAGAATAACAAAGGGCACAGGCCATGATTGTATTCAAATTGCAGGGAAGAGACGCGCACAATAATGTTGTCATTTTGGCAGGCGGTGCAATGTGGAGAGAAATTTTTACATAAGAGTGTATCACACAACAGTTGAAAACCTAATGTTGATGGCGTTGACATTTAGTGGGTGGGAAAGAATGCCCAGGAAACAGGTGCTCAGAGGGCGACCCATCCTTTCCTCGGCCCTTGACCCACAGGGAGAGATCATCAAGACTATGTTGGACACAAATGAACGAGCACCTGAAAATAACGTCTCTTGAGTGCTAGCCAGGACGCCACCAATTACGCCACCGATTAAGCCTTCAGAATCCCTGCGAGTTTTGAAGCCTGAAGAGTCACTGAATATTGTCGATGCGGGAGGAATTGATGATGTTGTGATGACCACAAGCAAGGTCGGGGCTGCATAAGCGGCCCTTCTAGTATGAAAGGAAAGGCTCATGTCAGGTGTCCACTCTTGGCCGAGATGAGAAGCGCACGTTCACCCTCAACATAGCTATCTCAGCAAGTGGAGTCCTTCTACCCTTCCAGGAAATATTCAAAGGAAAAACTTCTGCCAGTCTTCCTGCTGTGAATGCTCTTTCCCACGATGAAGCAGATTGACTTGGCTTTGTCTGAGAACTATCAGGTACCGACACCTATTGGGCAAACTTAAACACAATGAAATCATTTGTCATAAACATTCTTGTTCCGTACTTTAGTGCCAAAAAGGGGCATCTGTCACTTGATCCAGTTCAAGAATGCATTTGGCAACTTGACATCTGGTCTGTTCATGCTTCACTCAAGTTCCGGTCTTGGATATTTTTGACAATCATCCCTGGATTATCCTTGACTACGTTCCTGGAGGGTGCACGGGTCTTTGGCAACCCTGCGATGTTGGTGTTCAACACTTACTCGAACTTGTGGTGAAGCAATCTCAGCAAACTACTATTGTACATGAGATCCACTCCCAGCTGCAGCAGGGCGCCAGTGTCAGGGCACGCCCTGACATGCCCCACCCAACCCCCACTCCACCTCCCCGCTCCGCACCGCGTCTTCCTTCTTCCCTCTTTCTTTCTTCTTTCTTTCTCTCTCTTACATGGACCACCTTTCCCGCTGTTCAATGTATCACCGGGGCGCATGCCCATTTCCTCCTCCTCTTACCATCCCTATATCGCTGTCATCGCCACAGTGCTCACCCTGCACCTGCAATGGACCCTCTTGGGATCTCCAATGGAGACACCTGGAGAGCCATGGCTGTGTGCGAGGGTGACGTTGTAACGGGTCTACCCAACTAGACTCGCAACAGGAAAGAGGGGGGGATAAGGATCTCACTACAAGTCAGGTCTGAAGTGGGGTATATTGGTCCAGTCGAGTCTGGTGCTGATAACTCTCTACCAAACTGTACAGCGGGTCACGGAAGAGTCCGATAAAACAAATAAGGAAAGAGCATCACATGACGATAAGGAAGTGGAAACCTCGGGCTCTAGCCACTGGAAATGGAATCAGAAAAATAAGGAAAAATAGGAAAGTGTGTAAGGAGTGTGAGGGGATATAGGCTACATGTGATGGATGTGAGGTGCTTGCTGAGGGTAGTAGAATTGTGGGATTTGGCTCATTTATGGTACACCGGCAAATCCCCGTGACAATGTGGCACACCCCACATGATCAACCCTGCATGTATATAATAACAGCTGGAGTGGGAACCAAAGAAGTAGCCTTCTTCTCACATTCCCACTTCAGGCAAGTAGTGTAGCCCTCCTCTTGAATGATAACTCACATTCCCACTTCAGACTAAGTGGTCAGGGATGCTCACCCTGTGACGGGATTGCCGCTATGCATAGCTGCTATTCGTCCCACCGAGTCCCGCACGCTGGGACCTTGCCACTTTCGGAGCTGTCCCTCACAGCCAGCCCATCTGATATTTCACTTGATACGAGGCTTGGCACGCTAAGGGATCATGTCCCTGCCACTCTGGTTGATGCATACCACTCAATTAACAACCCTCTGTGAATCCAAAAGGTAAATACAACCTTCAGCCAGACGTTGTAGGCGGGCACAGCCGGTACCACACAAACGAGCCGATTATCGCGATTCTACCACCCACGTCAAGCATTCCACTTCCGAAACACATCTACCACTGTTCCAGATACCCCTTCCATGTTTCCCATATTTTTCGATTTTTTCAAGCCATTCCTGACCACGGACAACCATCAGTTTCCAAATTGGGTAACAGTCACCCGTATATTCCACCGCTTCCTCCATATCTCCATCAGTTCTCCACCGATCTGGACGAATTTGGTATCGTTGGAAAGCCCTTGTCAACACGAGTCGAACGATGTTACGAGCGACGGATTTGGTTCAGCGGTTGAGGCGATCGCCATGGTTCTTTATTCCTTAACAACGTCAATATTTCTTTGATATTGCTTTTTTTCTTAAGTGTTCCTTGTGGATCTGTTTCCGTCCTAAACCTGTCGGATCATTCAGATTTCCACGTATTTCTTTCATATTTATAGTTACCCCAGACTCAGTGCCAGTCGCTCACGTGAGTTTCACCAAAGTATATCCGAATTTTTCGGCGCAGCGAAACTGCGTAAGCGACTGGCGGAATATGTTGTTATTGTTTGTTTAACTCGAGTTTTTTGTCCTCGATAATAACACAGATATTTGTGGATTGGCTACTGAATTGCGTTGGATTGAATCGCCTGAACTACGAGTTGTACCTAAGTTGTGCAATGCAATTTTAGTGTGAGTGCATGCGGTCATCAACCCAACCCATTGGGAGCACATTCAAGGTTGTGAAGTTAGTATCCAGTGTGCGCGCGAAATTTAATCCTTTATATATTACTTCAACCAGCATATAGAGTTTGTATGCCGTGGCATAGGTGTTGGAGTGCAGGTTGAGGCTATGCAGCTTTTTGGGTGGCACATGTTTGATTCCCACTCAATAAATCTTTTTTCTTTTCATCCTTCCCTTCTTAGTGGACACGACAAATTCAAACCCTTACAATTAAGAATGTGAAAAAAGATTTATTGAGTGGGAATCGAACATGTGCCACCCAAAAAGCTGCATAGCCTCAACCTGCGCTCCAACACCTATGCCACGGCATACAAACTCTATATGCTGGTTGAAGTAATATATAAAGGATTAAATTTCGCACGCACACTGGATACTAACTTCACAACCTTGAATGTGCTCCCAATGGGTTGGGTTGATGACCGCATGCACTCACACTAAAATTGCATTGCACAACTTAGGTACAACTCGTAGTTCAGGCGATTCAATCCAACGCAATTCAGTAGCCAATCCACAAATATCTGTGTTATTATCGAGGACAAAAAACTCGAGTTAAACAAACAATAACAACATATTCCGCCAGTCGCTTACGCAGTTTCGCCGCGCCGAAAAATTCGGATATACTTCGGCGAAACTCACGTGAGCAACTGGCACTGAGTCTGTAGTTACCCTCTTTCCTGTATTTACAAAAAAAGGACTCCCCCAACAGAGAGGTGCTCCCAACAAGAACATGAAGTTCTAGCAGACGTTACCAGTGCCCAGAGCGGCAAATATGAAGCCAAAGAGGCTCAAGATATAGTGCAGGGACAGAGTTCCCATCAGTTTGATTTCTAGTGAGATTTACGAGTTTTATCATTTTTTTTATCACATCACACCCGGACCATTTCTCCCCCCCCCCCTTCCTCATCATCTGAACCTCCCCTGAGCATTCCCAACACTTGGCCCCCTCTCTTTCTCGTTAGGGTGGTAGATCCCTTGCCCCCTTACAACGTCACAGTTATATCTAAAAAGTATTACCTGGGCTTTTGAATGGTGCCACTCAGGTGAGTTCAATCTATCTCATTCTAGCCTCACATCCCCTTCACTACAAGCCATCCTCAATGATCTTCCATATTGAGACCCCACTCTTGCTCAAGCCATAACCGCACTGTGCAAGTGTCCCACTGATGGTAGTGGAATTCATCCGAGTTCTGCTGCACAAGCCCATGAGGAACCATTCTCCAAGGTTGCCAAAGATGGTGTAGAAGTAACATTGGAAGAGGTTTATGAGCACCTCGACGGAGAAGCTCTCCCAGACAGGCTTGCTGAGGTGGATGGTGGTCTTCAGCTGGATGTGATGGCTGCTGAAGACCATGACCCAGAATCCATTGGAGGGGTTAGTGTGGCAGTTGGGACTGAGGTTGATGGGTTGGGATGGGGCAAACAAATCAGACAGACGAGAAACATAGAAAAAGAGATGGAGATGTACTGTTTTTAGCACTACCGAATTAGGATAAACTGAATTGAAACTTGCACAGCCACTGGGTGCCTGCCCAAACAGCGTGACACCAGACATTGCAACCACAAAGCCTGCATGATGCATGACAAACTTTTCAAAAGTACCTAACCAGAAGGCCTGCGTGACGCATGACCGGTTGTTGGTCATGTGGGTACAGTAATACTAGTTCACATCCTTGGAACTGAGCGCTAATTCGTGACTAGTTCATAATTCCAATAGGTTATTTGCCCAGTCAACTCTGAACCTAGTGAACTCCGGACCCTATCCTTCCTTCCCCACTCCCCATGTCCCAAACCAGCTCAAACCCAGCTGCTACTGCAGCCGCTACCACCACTTCCTCATCAATCAACAACCCTAGATTTCCTATCGTGGCCTTAGATGCCGAGGGTAAGAATTATCAAATATGGGCATCAAGAATGGAATCCATCTTCAAAGTCAGGCATATGTGGAACGTAGTCAAAGCTGTGTTGGATGGCAGAGAACCTACACCATCAACGATGGATCAGAATTATATGGAATGGATGGAAAAGGACGAATGTGCCTGTGCCTACTGTCAGGGACAGCTCCGAAAGCGGCGAGGTCCCGGCATGCGGGACTCGGTGGGATGAATAGCAGCTGTGCGTAGCAGCGATCCCGTTGCGGGGTGAGCATCCCTGACCACTTAGTCTGAAGTGGGAATATGAGTTATCATTAAAAGGGAAGGCTACACTACTTGCCTGAAGTGGGAATATGAGAAGAAGGCTACTTCTTTGGTTCCCACTCCAGCTGTTATTATATACATGCAGGATCGGTCACGTGGGGCGCGCCACATCACCCCTGCACACAGCCACGGCTCTCCGGGTGTCTCTGCAGGAGATCCTGAGAGGGCCCGCTGTGGGTGTGGGGCGAGTGCGGCAGCGGTGGCAGTGATGTAGGGGTGGTAAGATACAGGAGAGGAAATGGGCATGAGTGCCGGTGATACATTGAGCAGTGGGAAAGGTGGTCCATGTGAGAGAGAGAGAAAGAAAGAAAGGAAGAAAGGGGGAAAGGAGAAAGGAAGAGGGAGAAGCAGGGGTCGGGCAGGGCGTGCCCTGACACCTACATCAAATGTCACATCAACGACAAGTGTATGACTTTGATCAATAATGCATCTCACGTGCAAGAGGCCTGGAAGATACTTCTGGACTGTTATATCGGTACAGGCCCCAACCAGGCAAACATGCTACACACCTCTCTCTATCAATTCCACATGGAAGATACCAGACTGCTGGAACCTCAGATCAATGAGATATGACGAGTACGTTGTAGGCAGGATAATTGCCCACATGCAGAGCCGGCTCGGATACCCGCTTCCAACATTCAGAAATCTACTTCCATTCACGCGACAACTCAGTACAGATTTGGTATTTAAAAATAATAGTGCTAATTTGTACGATTCCGACAATATCAAGAACATCCTAATCGGTGGAGAATTGACGGAGTTCTGTGTAGGGCAAGTTAGGCACAGCAGGTCACAGGTATGTGCAGGGGTGGGAATCTCAAGCGGCAACGTTATCTCTGGCTACATTTCTAATTTTGGCTCTTAACTCCGTAAATCTGTTGAGAAATCGCTTATTTTCTTATTTCGCCTAATAAGGTATCCAGGTGCCATGTTATAGGAATGGAGTCTCTCGCGACTGTGTCGACTGAACGTCAACCACAGCAGGTCCTCCTTGTCCACATCCTCCCATCTCTTTCTTACATTCTCCCCATTCCCCCCTTTCTTATACACTCACTCTGCACTAAGCTTTCCCTCATTGGGTTTTGGTGCTGGCTGGATTATTTATTCCATTTCGCGAAACTTCTTGCAATCATTCATATTCAATCGTTAGTGTCACATTTATGTATGGCTGCAGCCGAGAAAGATGGAACTTAATGAATAACACACTGTCATATCCGTGCATACCCGACCCCGACCCGACTTCCGGACCTCCACCCTCTTCACCTCCGGAGTCATAACCTACCGCTGCCTTTCCGATACTCACCTTCGGTCTCGGCAACACACCCCTCCTCTTACCTCTCCTACGCCATCTCCGTCCGTTCCGATATCCACCTTCGGACCTGACTACTCTTCCTTACCTTCCCCTCTCTCATTCCTCCGCCACCCTTCCGCCAAGTTACGACCATCCACCGCTGTTCCGTACTTCACACTCGGACACCGTTCGTACCTTACTCCGAGCCTCCGTCATAGTCCATACCTCGGACTTTGACTCCACCTCGGTCTTAGTCCATTGCATTGGTGACCTCATACTACGTGAACACCATTGCCAATATTCCTCGGACTTCCAACCCCGCCTCCGTAACCTCCGTAAGCTCCGCAACCCCCGAGCTTCGCGGACCGCCTCCGGCACTCTCGCCGTTTGTAATGTATTTCTCGCAATTCCCCCTCATCCCTATTTGGACTACTGCTTCTTTCTATTCTAGCCAGTTAGTCATCACCCCCACTTCCCCTCATCCTCCTGCCCCTCTGGGCCTCGCCCACTCTACCTCCTTTCGGATGTATCACAGGTCTTGCCTTATGACCTTCGGTACCGCTCCGCTCCCTCTAACCCTTTGTTCCCGTTCGGACGTCTTCGTTCCGATTCGGTCACCCTTTGTTTCTCCTTGTGCTTTTGCCCCTTCCTTATATATCGGCGCTTGTACATACTCGTCTGTTTTCAGTCCGAAATCGACCTGAAATGCCCCCAAGAGACTTCCTGCTCACCTACTGTGAAATTAAGGACCAAATGGACAAACAGCAATGGCACAGCGCTCCGCTTGAGTCGCTGAGGCCAAGGTCCCTCCACGCTAAGTCTCCGATTCCACTCCGGAGTCGTCCGTTTCCGCCCATCTCTAACACACACTCTGTTAGAACGGGCGGATTCAGATGACTCCGGAGTGGAATCGGAGACTTAGCGTGGAGGGACCTTGGCCTCAGCGACTCAAGCGGAGCGCTGTGCCATTGCTGTTTGTCCATTTGGTCCTTAATTTCACAGTAGGTGAGCAGGAAGTCTCTAGGGGGCATTTCAGGTCGATTTCGGACTGAGGCCAAAACGAGTATGTACAAGCGCCGATATATATAATGGAGGGGGCAAAAGCACAAGGAAACAAAGGGGATCCGAATCGGAACGAAGACGTCCGAACGGGAACAAAGGGTAGACAGAAGCGGAGTGGTACCGAAGGTCATAAGACAGAACCTGTGATACATCCGAAAGGAGGTAGGGAGGGCGAGGCCCAGAGGCAGGAGGATGGTGAGAAGTGGGGATGATGACTAACTGGCTAGAATGGGAAGAAGCAGCAGTCCAAATAGGGATGAGGGGAAAATGCGAGAGATACATTACAAGCGGCGAAAGTGCCAAAGGTGATCCGTGAAGCTCGGAGGTTGCGGAGCTTACAGAGCTTACGGAGGTGGGGTTGAAAGTCCGAGGAATATTGGCAATGGTGTTTACGTAGTATGAGGTCACCAATGCAATGGACTAAGACCGAGGTGGAGTCAAAGTCCAAGGTAGGGACTATGATGGAGGCTCGGAGCAAAGGTACGATCGGTGCCTGAGTACGAAGTACGGGACAGCGGTGGAAGGTCGTAACTTGGTGGGAGGTCGGCGGGAGAGTACCAGAGGGGAGAGAGAGGAGAAAGGGAAGAGGGAAGGAGTGGCAGAAAGGGGAGTTGTCAGGTCTGAGGGTGAGTATCGGAGCGGACAGGAGGAGCGTAGGAGGATGATGGAAGGGTGGAGGTTTTGTGGGGGCGGAGCGGAGGAGTAGGAGGAGGGTGGCGAGAGGGGTGGTGTTCGGTCCGAGGTGAGTATCGCAGCGGACGGAGATAGGGGAGGAGAGGGAAGGAGGAGTGGGGGTGGCATCGGAGGTAAGAGGAGGTGTGTTGCCAGGACCGAAGGTGAGTATCAGAACGGGCGGCGGTAGGGTAGGACTCTGGAGGTGGAGAAGGAGGAGGTCCGGAAGTTGGGTTGGGGTCGGGTATGCACGGATATGACACACTCCCACCTTCTGTGCAACAACTGTAAACCTCCTTGTGCCAACATTGTAACGTCTGTGTAAGGTTGTATATGTCTCGGTCACCATCTATATGGGTCATCCCTACCGAGGTTGATGACTCTAGCCATGGATCATCAAGTTTACACGTGACTTGACTCAGGTATGCACGAACATCTTCTGTTACAACTCATGTTGCTTGCCCAGGTACTGGGCTCTCATCTGTCTCACCACATGGTGAGAATCTGGTTAACTCTATGGACGGATTAGTATTCGATACAAGCCTGTTCCCTTTGTCGCCAGTACGCTCTTGCAAGCGCCAAGTAGCTGCCTGTCATATCCATACAATCCCAACCTCCACTCCGGGCTCCCGGAACTCCGAACTCCGACTTCCGGAGCCCTACTTCCCTTCCATCACCTTCTCCTTGCCGACTCCCAAGAGGTTATCCCACCTCCGGCTCCAACACCACCTTCGGTCCGACTCCGGAACATTCCGGGTCCGACCCCAACCTCGACACCTTCCAGACGAGTATGCAACACCTATGTCCCCGACTCCGGAATCCCGTTGGCGTCTCCGTCTCCGGAACCTCCGGTCTTAGCTCCGACCTCGGACTTTGACCCCACCTCCGCTTATACCCATTGTATTGGTTAGCTCATTCCATTTAATTACCTTTGCCAATATTCCGGAGTTTAACCTCCGAGTTCGGACTTTCCGGACTTACTCCGGACCTTGCAACTATTGCATTGTCCATTTCAATTCCGCTATTCTCCCTCATTCCTATTTGGGCTGCTGCTTCCTTTCTATTCAGTCAGCTAGCCATTCCCCACTCCCAACCTCCTTCATTCCTCCTTTGGGAAAACACCATTGAGTCAAACACTTGACCCTCGGTGTTGTTCCTCTGTCCATCTCCCTTTGTCTCCTTTCATCCTACCCTTGTTCCTTTTGATTCCGGACCCCTCCTTATATACAATGTACCTAGTAACTTGTAACCTCAGTCCGAAATCGACATGAATTCCCCCCAAGAGACTTTCCCTCTGCTAGATCCGAAATTAGGGACCCCTAGGACAACCAGCAATGGCACAGCGCTCCGCCTGAGTTGCTGAGGCCGAGGTCCTTCCATGCTAAGTCTCCAATTCCATTCCGGAGTCGTCCGAATCCCCGTATTCTAACACTGCCGATCCCACCACGTGTCGTTCGACCTATGAACGACTAACCCCTCCATTGCATGCTTGTCTGGAAGGTGTCGAGGTTGAGGTCGGACCTGGAATGTTCCGGAGTTGGACCAAAGGTGGTGTTGGAGCCGGAGGTGGGATAACCTCTTGGGAGTCAGCAAGGAGAAGGTGACAGAAGGGAAGTAGGGCTCTGGAGTCAGTTTTCGAGTTCCAGGAGCCCAGAGTGGAGGTCAGGATTGTATGGATATGACACTACAGATGAAGAGGACCCATCAATATCAGATGCCTGCTTGGCTTGGAAGAATGCCTGACCAATGCCATCAAAGTCAAAGTCTGGATCACTGGGGTTATGGATGAAACTGGTATCTTTTCAGTTGTCTGTTGGCATGGAATCATTCAGTTCCTCATCAATATGGTTCAAAGTGGAGAGCTGTGAGCCACTACTTGTGATACTTGCATCTAACTAACATTGTCATAGAACAAAATATCCATTGGCTTCCTGTCAGGGCACACACCCTGACTAGCCCGGACCCGGACCTGCGTCCGGACCCGCACATGGACCCGCATGTGCGCCTCCGCCCTGCACGCTCCGCGCGCCGCATGCTCCGGGCCCGGTTCCTACCCTTCATGTGACTTCCGGGTATCCCCGGAAGTTTTCGCCATATTGGGGCCACTGTGGGAAAGTGAGAAGTTAACCTTCTTCTCACTTTCTTACCCACAGTAGGCAAGTGTAGCCTACTTTCTATTTATCTATACACTTTCTTACCCACAGTAGCTCTTTGCCTTGGGACTAGGCTGTTACAGGTTGGGCTGTGGGCCATAGAGAGAGGGGTCATGGGGACCCGGGGTCCGTCCCCTGACACTTCCATCGAGAAGCTCATACATACATTTGGCAAGAACATTCTGTTTGCCTATGATGTTGGGTGTATGTTCTCAGCAACCTTGTTGAAGTCATCAGTTGGGGATTTGGCAAGAGAAGCCAATTTCAGGTGTTGTACTGGCTCTTTTCATGGCACTGCTCATGAAAGGTCTTGCCAGCTGGAATACATTATTGGCTTACAGAAAGGTGCAGGCATAGAGGATGGCGAAGGGAACAAACGAGTCTACTCAGAGAGCAATGCCCTCACACCTGTGGTTCGCCATGCATCACCCTATTACCGCCACCTTCGTATCCACATCCATTTCTCCAAATGGGTCAAAATCAAATACGAAAAACTAGGTGGGTCTTCTTATTGCACTTCTATCCTAATCGCCATGGATGGTATTGTACATTGATAGGTGATTTCCTGTTGAGCAATTTCAAGTCTGCCAGGGAAATCATTGGCAACAGCAACGAAGTTCTGGAGGCCACAAAACAGTTATTCCCTGACTTTGACCCTGACCAAGACTGCCCCTGTTGGTTATCTGAGGAACATGACTATATTTTGTCACTCTGATCTCAACCTGCAGACAATGAAAGAGGGCTCATGGCTCTCTATCTGACTAAGCTCATGGGGCCAAACTCTCCCTAAACCTCTACTTTCTCTCTTAACTTCGCTATGCTCTCGATCCTTAAACTCCATGGTGGGTTCTCCAGGATTCTGCAAGGTCCGGGCTCAACAAATCCACTACCCACTCGTTGCAGGCTAGATTGTTGCCCTTATTCCTACTGTTGGATTCCACTCACTCACACCCACTCTAGCACGTCCTAGCACCTTAGAGAAATTGGGGGAGGGGAGATCTTCTTTTCAAAAATCCGGTATGTACAGGATTATAAGAAATAATTATTTTTAGAAATAATAGATGGTGAATATTGGTGCCATATGGCACCTGGGTACCTTATTAGGCGAAATAATAAAAAAGGGTAACAGTAACAATAAAAGAATATCAATCAATAACTGAAATGATGACAAAATATGAAATTAAAAGAAAATAAGCGATATCTCAACGGATTTACGGAATTATAAGCCGAAATTGAAAATATAGCCGAAGATAACTCTCACACAGCCGATAAACATTTTTACCAATTTATTAGACGCCGTGGGAATGAGTGAGGCTGGAATTCTGGGTTGCCGCTTGAGATTCCCATGCCCGCACATGCCCGTGCCTAACTTGCCCAACATAGAACTCCATCAAATCTCCACCGATTAGGATGTTTTTAATATCGCCAAAATCGTTCGAATTAGGACTATTTTTAGGTACCAAATTCGTATCGAGTTGTCACATGAATGGAAGTTGTTTTCTAATCGTGGAAGTGGGTATCCGAGCCGGCTCTGTGCATGGGCGATTATCCCACTGACAACGAGAAGGTCAAGATCGAGTATTTGGAAGCTGTTGAATATCTTGAGCATGCCGAGTAAGTGATTGCTAACCTGCATTGGACATGAGACTTTGCAATTTTCCTGTTCTAAAGCAACTACACAGTACTAGACATTTCAGGCCATGATGCCAGCAGGATCATCAATGCACATTACCCAGCACTTAGCCCAGGCAAACGAGGCCCTCAATACCGCTCGTTCAGCCATTTTGGCAATAGAGGCTAGATCACCCACTGCCCCTTGGATGCCTGATTCCCCTCAGCATCAGGAAGCTCTGATTTTGTGCCAACACCGAGACTATCACCAAGTTCTTGATGAGCTTGAACAACGAGCTGTATCACACCAACTTGAGCTTGAGAAGATGGTTTGCCAAAAACAGGTGAGAATCATATTGCTCAGAATTCACCTTATGCTATTCATTCTTTCAGATTATAAGGCTTGACAACAAATTTCTACACTGGTCATCAAGCAAGGGAAGTCGTTGAACTTGTCAGAGACCAGATGCGAGATGAAGGAAATGTCTCCATGGTGGAGGGCTTCAGCCTCAGTGACTCAGACCAGGAGCGCTGTGCCTAGTTACACGTCTGTGCCCTAATTTACTTACTGGCAGAGAGAACTAGAAGGGGGGATAACTCCAGACTCCTTCCCAGTCGCTCACATGATTTCTCCAAGGTTTAGCCGCAACTTACGTTGCCCTCCGAAATCTGTCGAGCGACTGGTACAACTTGCAACATGTGATGTTCCCACACTAAGTTGTAATGAGTTGTACATAGGTTACGGAATATAATTTTTAGTATTTACACATGCGGTCATTGCACCCAACCCAACCCATGGAGACTAAGGGAGCACATCCAAGGTTGTGAAGTCAATATCCAGGGTGCGCGAAGTTTAATGGTTTATATATTACTTAGTTACCAGTCAGTTATTTGTGCCCAGTGGCATAAGTGGTATAACATTAGCTGAGGCTATGCAGTCTTTTTAAGTTGCACATGTTCAATTCTCACTCAGGAAACTTTTTTTTTCATACCCTCCATTCCTTAGTGTACAGAAAACAACCATTTCACACAATTATTCCATGGGAGGGCCCAAAAAAAGTTTCCCTAAGTGAAAATCGAACATGTGCCACTTAAAAAGACTGCATAGCCTCAGCTAACGTTACTGTACCTGCACGACCAATTACCGGCTGAGGTTCCGAGTGTGACACAAAATAGATAACCGGCTTCTCCTTGTGACGTGTGACAAGCAACCGGAAGAGGTGGCAAGGTTGGTGTGACACCAGCCACAGTGGCGCTGGAAATGTCCAACTGGCAAATTTTCGTGTTGATACATTTTACACCAAAAAAACTACTTCCTTGCAGACGGCTTTTGTTTTCATTGAATTTAATCCGATTTCACACAGCCACTTAGGCGCCAAAAAAAATTGGTGTGACAAGGATCATTCAACCGGAACGTCAGTGTGATGCATGACCGGTAATTGGTTGTGCGGGTACAGTATACCACTTATGCCACCGGGCACAAACAACTGACTGGTAACTAAGTAATATATAAACCGTTAAACTTCGCGCACCCCGGATATTGACTTCACAACCTTGGATGTGGTTGGGTGCAATGACCGCATGTGTAAATACTAAAAATTATATTCCATAACCTATGTACAACTCATTACAACTTAGCGTGGGAACATCACGTGTTGCAAGTAGTACCAGTCGCTCGACAGATTTCGGAGGGCAACGTAAGTTGCAGCTAAACCTCGGAGAAATCATGTGAGCGACTGGGAAGGAGTCTGGGATAACTCTAGTCGATTTTATCACTAGGGTGTAACCTATCTACAAGTTATGTATATATAGTTACAGCAAGGGTGGGCCCATGAATGATGGGACCGAGTGGAGTGGAGCTAACAGAGTTAAACGTTAGCTGACTGAATATTACTGACGAGTCAGGTTATGGGGTTAGTGGCATGGCAGGCTATAACCCAGAAATGGAAAGGAGGGATAGGCCTGAAGGTAGACTTGCAGGGCAAGCAAGTGAATTGCCCAGCAGGGGCAGGAGTGCATTAGCGGACGTCGGAGCTGTCCAGAGGCCTTTGGGGCTCCATACCTAGGGAGGCATAGGTAATATATTGAATTGAGGGGGTGGTGACCATCAGGGGAGTCGGAGGTGACTGCAGAATATGGAGGCTCCGAGGTTAGTGATGAAGGAGTGGAGGTGATCCAGAAGGACCGGAGGTAGTGGAGGGTGATGGCCATGGATGGATATGACAGAACTCAACACTCCAGAAATACAACAACTTGGCCGCCTCCATGAATCCTCCCAAACCATCACTTAAATGGCAAGACATCACAGACCTCAATTTCCTTTCTGATGTTGTTCTGTTGCGTGGCCATGAAGATATGAGAGACAAGTCATGGTTTCAACATCGCTTTCGCAAAGCGATGCATGCCTGGCATAAACTTCAACATGCCTGTGAGGAGATCAAGATCGTTGGCACTGAAGCATCGGATATGGGCATTTATGGATGAGGAAACCCACCTGCATCTCACCACCGAGGCCACGTGGTTCACTGATCCTGAGCTATCCCAGTACATCTTGAGTATCGACTCAATGCAAACAGACATCTGCGTAACAAACTGAAACTTCTGGAGAAGCAAGGTGGCACTGGTATGCCTCTCCCTGCAGTCCATGAATCAGGAAGCCCTGGGGCCATGGCAGCTACAGGCGCCTCCACTCCTCCCTGTACATTAGATTCCTCATTTTATTTGTATTGTGGCAATTTCTTAGCATAACCAAAATAGCAATGCCTGATGGCCCCAGCTTGCCAAACACTATTCCTATGAACACCCAGGACCTGATAACAGAGAACAGCTTTCAAGGCATGGATGCAGGTGCATTGCAGCAGCCTAATGCTGTTGACTGGGAAGATGAGAATGAAGATGCTGATGCTGATGATTATGACTATCATTGCATCATTGGAAGAATTGTGGATGCATTAGAAGCCATAGATTTAGAATCTGCCTGAATGATTGTTACATATGATGTTACAAGATACATCTGGTATGGGCTGTGATGACTACAACATGTGCAGTATAAGTGTGAGCAAAGAATGTGCAAGTAGAAAAGAAGAATGAAAAAAAAAACTGAACAGAACTGAGGAAGGACAACATTGGCAACATCAGTGATGATGGCAGCAATGACAAAGCATTGGAAGTCAATGCCGGCAATTCATTTGAAAGGAGACAGTCATGTAAAGCGTTGTAATAGAAAAAAGCAGTCATGGGCATCCCAGAGCTCCCAGGACCCTTCAGGCCCCACCATAATAACTTGGTTTTCCTGTCCATATATTTCGCTCAGGGCACCAGGGCACCAGTGCAGCTACCCAAAGCCTCAAAGACTATCTAAGATGGTAGGTTGGGTGGCACACCCCACATACCATTTTATATTGACTGAGTCATGAGTACTAGGTGTTCATACCTCAGTACTATCCATTGTCACGAAATTTGCGTTGTGGCTCATTTCTGCCACAACACTTCTGAGGCTAATTATTGGAATGAGTCTATGTCACATGAGATTCAGATTTGTATAAGAGATCTAAGATTGTAAATACCAATACCAATGTTGTGTGAGACTGCGACAAGAATTATACATGAGTTATAGGTAGAGAATATAAGATGGTTCTCATGTCAGGGCAACCACACCTGACCATACAACCCCAGAACCACCTTCCCTGACCTCCCATCTTTACACACCTCTCACAACTACAGCCCGCATGCGAACCCGTGGGAAAAATCACGTGGGTCAAGGTGAGCAACTCACCTTAACCCATGTGACACCTTTTCCGCTTGGCATCAGTGGTTACTGGCGCTGTCGATGGGGTAGGTGTCAGGGCACACCCGCCTGACCCGGCCCCACCTGGCCCCACTTCACCCGGTACCCCGCTACCCAGCCTTCTCCTACCTCCTCCCCCCTTCCTCTTTCTTTCTTTCTCCATTTCACTTCCTCTTCATTTATTTCACTTTCTCTTTATTTTCTCTTTATTCTACATGGATGACCTTTCCTTGTATCAATGTACCATTGACCCACCCGCAGCGTGCTCACGACACACCCAGCCCAGGCGCCTTGGGCAACCCCCCGCTATGTTGAAAGAGGGCTCGTGGCTCTCTATGCCGACACAGCTCGTGGGGGACAACTCTCCCTAAACTCTACTTTCTCTCTAAACTTTGCTTGACTTGATCCTTCAACTCCGTGGTGGTGTCAGGGCATGGGAAAACGTTACCGTGACTCACCGTCGGTGACCGTTAAGGTCCGCTGCTCTGGCGTAACAGCCCATTAAGGGCAGGGATGACAATCGTGGCAAAATGGGGTTTCGGCTTCAACGACTCGTTCGTGAGCGTTGCACCTTGTACTTGATGTGGCCCTGATATTTCAGAAGGCAGAAGGTGCAACTGAGTCAGACAGAGGGTTCAGGGGGTAACCCTAGTTGATTTTCGAACTAAAGTACGAGGTAGTGTACAACCGGTATTTAAGTATAACAGAATGAATAGAAATAAGTCGCCAGATCTCACAGAGATTGCGGGCGGGCTTAAGAAGAAACGAAAACAAACAAAGAGTGTGGGAGAAGGACGGCTGTGCACGTCCGTCAAGAAAAACAAGCGTGATAAGGAATGACTCATAGGCCCGTGATGGGCCATGGAAACAGGTAGCAGTGATGGGGAAGGGTGATGGGCTTGTTCAGGCAGCGTCGGGTGGGCAGCGGAGTTGACGGGGTCGAAGCGGAGGAGGAAGAAGGTGTGGGGAGTGATCACCTGACCGTGGGAATTCCCGGGTCGTGACAGTATCCCCCCCTTGGGACTGAACCCTTGAAGTCCCATGTGTGCATGAGAATCCTGCGGCCTATGCCGGGTTTGATTCCGACAGCGATCTGAACAAAAAGACTTAACTTTGCTATCGCAACCCAAGATGCCCCCTAAGGCTCGCACAATGGACCTCTCTTCCTGGAAAATTGAAGACCTCCAGTACGACTCCGGCGACAAGCAGGAGCTCATGCTCCAGAAATGCCAAGAGCGCCACAGACGGCGCCGAGTTGAGGCTGATCGCGTGGAGGAATTGCATCATGCAGAAGAGGCTCACCATGAGGCAGAGCGTCTAGCGGCAGCTCGTCTCACTGCTGAAGAAGAGGAGAAGAAGAAAAGGAAAACGGCTGAGTCGGTGACAGGGAAGGTGAGTAGTCCTGGTCAACTGATCGGGGGCGCAGGGTGCTACTGATCATCCTGATTGTCTCGATCACAGCATCCTGCAGCCAGTAATCGACCGTCTACAGCGGGGGATGATCCCCCACCTTGCGATCGTTGTGTCCAGCGTAAGGTTGCCTGCGTCTTGGGTATGGGCAATTGCGGTGTTTGCGCCGAGTGCCAGAGACTGAAGCAGAAGTGTCAACGCGGGGACTGGACGTCACCCATGGCGAAGCGCTGAAGGAGCAGAGCTGGATCACCTTATGTAACCAGTTTCCTACGTCCAATAACGATATTAGAGTTTTGTGCTGATTTGCGTACTGACCGTGTTTTGGTTGCCAAATATATGATTGTTCACTGTCTAAACAACAATAAACACCCCCCAACGATCTCACCTGACGTATAGATCGTCTACGGATAAAATTCTATATTGACTTTACTATGATTTCTAGTCAATATTACACCTATATTTACCACTTTTCAGTAGGATGTGATTTTCCTGATAATTTACTGAAGGAAAACTGCTAATAAAATAATTCCGCAATAAATGTTACTCAATACAGGAGTGACCAAACTGCTCTTTCTATCGCTTAGAGTGCGTGCTAGTTATCTAGCAGGTTCAGGATCGCTCACTTTTCTCCTGTGGTGTGATAACCAAAAATTGCTGAGAGATTATTCAATTAAGAAGTCCCTCCACCCAATTCTCACTAATTCTCACTATGACACTTTTGTTCAGCTGTGTCTAACTGACCCTAACTCACGCTTAGAGTGACGTGTTAGTTTTATATTAGCTAACAACTAATATTTGCTTTTATCTTTTGGAGCAAACGAACCAACCACTGGTGAGGAGAATTAAACTTTTATGTCTACCTGAGGTTTGAGAGGGGGCAGAAGCGGTGGCCTTTTATGCTTTTCAGAGGCCTCTCTACTCCCACGCCTCGCACTAGTTACATGTGCTACATTTGTATTATAGATAGTTCTAGAATGATATAGGGGCTTGGGCTGTGTAAGCTTAATAATGGACTTAGGACATGACTCAGCAATAAGTAATTCATTTCTTTGTCTTTTGGGCCGATCTCAGCGGGATCTTGTAGCGCTGAAGCTATGCTCTACACCGCCTTAATTACGAACGGTTATCTTTAGAAATGACTCGGCTATAAAGGAACTTTCTAGACTGTTCTCTAATTGACCCCTTTTTGTGAAGCCGCATCATTACTAATGTTCTAGAGCCTTCCCAATTAATTAACTGATCCGCGGACTTCTGAATCACTTCATGCTTATGATCCGAGATCCAGATCATCAATCATTCCTTTGTTCCGATTTATTTGAGCTTAAAATCAAAAAGTTTTGATGAATCATGGGAAAATATACAAGATCCGGTTTTTTAGCATTTTCTCCTCTTCTGATGCGATCAAAAACTGTCCGCCCGCGCCGGGGAATACTCTATTATATGGTATTCGGTCCGCCAGACTTCCGGGCGCCAATATATTTCCCTTGAGTCACATTACTTTTTGTAAGAATTAGCAAATAAATATATATGAATTATAAGGTGTTTCGCCGTTTGAGCGATATCTCCGTCAGCTTTGAAGCTTTTAGAATGAAACAAAACCGTGGATAAAGTTAAGAAACAGTCCTTTCAGATGGTAAGAAGATTACAGTCAAAAGTTTACTGGTTCCCGAGATATTCACATTTCTTTCCCAATGTTCCTTCTTATTCTGCCGTCTATGTGCTATTTTCTTGTTGTAGGGTTATATTCTTTGAATATTACACCTATGCCAAGTTCTAGGCATGATTGTAGTAGATTAAATCTCATACTACATGGGTGTAGATAATTTATAATGATCTAATGTCTGTCCAGTCTCTAAAGATCATGAGATCTGTTAAACGTCTGAACTTGTCACCTGTTCGTTGACTATTCTGATAGATCATTGTTTTATTCTTTGAATATTTTTTCTCCTACAGCGCTAACGAAAGAAACCATCAGTATTGTTCAATTAAAGATGAGTTTTCAAGAAAATGGGCCTACTTACCTTGTTAGGCACTGAGCCCTCACCTGATTCCTCTGTGCGCCTCTTCTCTCATCGAGCTTGCACCAACTCTTTCTGGGCTCTGGCCCATTGCTCTCTCTTCTCCTGCTCAACCCTCCTCCTTTCTCGTTCTTCCACCTCACACACCTTACGCTCCTCCTCCCTCACCCATTGATCCGCTTCCTCCTTCTGGGCCTAGAATCGATGCAGGCATCGTTCACAAGCTTTGGCCATCGCCAGCTCCTCAGAGTCTGACATGCACTCTTCCAGTGCCATGTCCACCCAGAGAGACAAGTTGAGAGTGTTGGTAGCATGCACCAAAGACATTGTGGGAAGTAATGAGAAGTGAGAATGAGAGTGATGAACGAAAATTTTGATTCTAGCCAGCGGAAACAAAATCCCTGGAAGTTGCTGGGAAACTCTCACGCCGTGGAACTTAGGCCTTCAGGGGTTCAGGCCTAAGAGGGGGATACTGTCACGGCCCCGCAAAGTCCCTGCCTCTACCACTTCTATCACCTGCACCCATCACCATTCTTGGGCCCATTATTTGCACCTGTTAATTGCACCATTGTCCATCACTTAGTGGTGCCGATAGTGGTTCCCATCTACGGCCCCATAGCGGCGCCTCCTTCTTTCTCCCACCACCACTTGAGTTCCTCAGCCATTCAGCCAACACCGTTTTATTCTTATTCATTCGCTTAACTTACTAGCAGTCGATATTGTTGCCACTGATCCGCTCCCATATTGACATTTGGTTTATTCG